TTTCACCTTTTCTGCTATAGGTCCCACTTTTGTCCACTTTTTCTCACATTTTCTTATGTAGATCTCACTTGCAAGAGATGTAAAAAAAGATGTACATGTGCATCTAAATTTACATCTCATGGTGGTGATGCAAATTTACACTCGTTTACACCTCTCCATTTGCGGGTGATTCCGATCACAAAACACTACTACAAAAAACACTTTGCGTGACGAAATAAGTTTGTTGCACAAAGTACAATTTCGTTGTGCAAAGTTTGCGCGACGAACTTTTGGTTGCGCAAGTTTGCGCGACGAAAATTACTATTCGTCGCACAAAGTATCTCTGCGCGACGAACGATAACAACTTTGCGAGACGAATAGTAACCACTCTGCGCGACGAATTCTAACTACTTTGCGCGACGAATAATAGCAACTTTGCGCGACGAATAGTAACCACTTTGCCCAACGAATATTATCTACTTTGCGCGACGAACCTTAACCACTTTGAGCGACGAACCTTAACGTCGCGCGACGAATCCTAATGTCGTTGCGCGACGAAATATTTATTTTTAAAAAAAAAAATTAATTAAAAATAAACTAGTTAGTTTGCGCGACGAAATATTTTGTTGTGCAAGGTTTTTGACATTTTGTTTTATTATTTCTCTTATATCAATTTCATTATATTAATTTTTTCAAATTTTTACTTTTTAAAATTAATTTAATTGTATGATTTTATTTTATTTTACTTTTTAAATTTAATTTAATTGTACGATTTTATTTTTTTAATTACTTTAATTTAAATTGACATATTCAAAATAAAATTACATATGAAAAATAGTGGTCAAATTATCCAATATATATAATATTCAAATGTACACATAAATTAACAAAGTAAAATAATAAAATCTACAAGCCTATTGTGGTGGTAGTGGCGGAGGATATGTTTTTCGATAGCGTCCAAATCCTCAACTTTAGCCGTCAAAGTCTCGACAATTCCCTACAACAAAAACAAATATTGTCAAATATAAAAAAAAATAACAAAAAATTGGCATAAACTCAAAACTAACTCTAAAAACACATATTATTGAAAAAAATTTAACATTTGGAGAGAATATACCATTTGACAAAATTTTGAGTGAGTGAGAATGAGAGGGAGAAGTGAGTGTGAGAGAATTAGAGAAAGAGATGAGAGATTAAGTGAGAGGAGTGAGTGTGAGAGAAAGGGTAGGATTTGGTGAGACATAGTGAAGAAAGAGATGAGAGATTAAGTGAGAGGACTGAGTGTGAGAGAAAGGGTAGGATTTGGGGAGAGGGAAAGAGAGAGGAGAGGTAAGAAGAGTAGAAGACATTGAGAAAATGGTGGAGGAGTTATTTTGGTTTTAAAAACCGTATCACTTTGCGCGACGAAATAATATATTGGTCGTGCAAAGTCTTAAATTTTTAGTGCCCACCCAAATTTTTAGGGTTTGACGGTAGGATTAACGGTGCAACAAAACACCTAATTGAGTGACCTCTGTAACTAATAATTGAATTGAGTGACCACGCTGTAAATATGGGTATAGTTGAGGGACCATTGCTTCGAATAACCCTTTTTTTAAAGAAATAGTATAGCAGCACGGCTATACTATTTAAATTTAATATTTGTAGCGTATAGCCGCGCGGCTTTACGATAATGTGTTTTTTAAAAACAAATAGTATAGCCGCACGGCTATACCTGTTTTGACACTTAATCCCCTAGCGCTGGGTGGGTCCCTTTTTTTCTTTCTTTAAATTGTATAGCCGTGCGGCTATACTCTCTATACTCTCAGATATTTAGTATAGCCGCGCGGCCTTACCACGGTATTTTTTTTTCATTTAAAAAAAATAGTATAGCCGCCCCTGTATAGCCCCGATTTTCTTTTATCAATAAGAGTAGTTTAGGAATCAATAATGGAGAAAGTAAGAAATCAGAGAATTTAGGAATCGGCGAAGTACTGAATTGGTATGAGAAGAATCATTCCCATTAAGCTTTTTACTAACATATGGAATTAGCAAAGGAATGGAGTTGGTTCCCATTGTTATTGTTTACTAATTTTCATGAATCAGAATCCAAATTAATTTGATTACTAAAATGCCCTGCACATTTTCACCACAGCGCATATATAATTCTCAAATTGGCTAAGGAGACCAAACTAATCCTGCAGCAAACTAGTAAGGTGGTCTAAACATGAGGATTCAATATGCTGAACAAGATGAATAGCAACAACCCAGTTCAATGATAATGTTAATAACAACTTTGTCCAGAGCCAATTTCAAACGAAAAAATAAACTCCAATAAATATATATCTTTCACCTACTCAACTAGTAAACAATCAAATAATAATAAACCGTATAATCTTCATACTACCAAAAAAAAAAGATATATCATCTCCACAAAAGTCAATCACCCATTACTCATCAATCACAATCACTGTAAGCCATGCTCCATAAGATTAAATACATAATTTTTTTTTTTCTTCATCAGTCATGGTAAAGAAGACCCTCAACAAATCGTGCTCTTTGGCTAAAATGTTGGTGATATATATAGGCTTCCGA